ATGCAGCAGAATTTGCTGCTGTCTGTTGCCCAGTTTTTCCTTCTATGCGATTGCATAGGATAGGCCGCGATCAGATAGAGCAAATTGCCAAGGCCCAGAAACCCTTCTATGCGATCGCATTACAGCTTCCGCGATCGCATTGTACAAAATTCAGCCCCCTTTTATTTTACTCTATGCGATCGCAATGTGTCTTCTGCGATCGCAAAGCACATCCAACCTGACCCTATGCGATCGCGTCCCCTCTTCCGCGATCGCATAGGGCATTTTTGCCCAGTTATTTTAAAAGCCTAAAAACAGACCAGTGACGGGATATTTCACATAATACACACGAGTTCATCTTCTCCACAGCCCATAGGCGATTTTTAGAGCTATCCTTCACCAAAGCTTCTTGGGTAAGTATTATCTAACTCGTTTTCTTCATTTTCTATCATCATTTATCAAATTCCTAGACCTAAATCATGAAATCAAAGTAGAAATTAAGGGTTTTGGGTAGAGTTAGGGTTTTGAGAATTTTGGGTGATTCAACCTCAATTTGGGGTCGAATCTTAAAATAAATTATATATTTGAACTCGTGGGGTTATGGGTGATTGGGTTTTGGTCCGAGCCTCGTGTTTGGACCATGTGGGCCCAGTGTCTAAATTTGGTATTTTTGGAAGAATGTTAGGAAATTCATATCTAGGCTATGAGATGTTGCCATTGAGTCTTTATTGATATTATTGAATTAATTATGCCTAGATATCATTGTTTCGGAGTCGGATTGTAGAGGAAAGGCGGTATTTGAGGATTGATTGCTATTCTTTGGACCGAGGTAAGTGTTTGATCTAACTTTGGCTTGAGGGAATAGGATTAGAGTGTTATTAATTTCTAATTGCTAAATGATCGAGTACGGTGTATAGGCATGGTGACGAGTATCTATACACCGGTGTCTAGCATGACCGTGGGTCCTTGTTTGCACGTATTTCTGATATTTTTGAGACTCTTCTATGCTAATTGATGAATTCTACATAATGTGAAGGTTGTTGTTGTTACCCCCTTGCCGGGATTTAGCTGTTTAATTATGTTTTTCCTTGCCGGGACATTTCTTATTATTTGCTTATTCCCTCGCCCGTTTGGTTGTGATTGCTGTTTGGGTGAGGAAGAGTGATAATGCACGAAGGGTCATTCCGTGCTATGTTGATTATATTTGCACGAAGGGTCATTCCGTGCCATGTTTTGATTATATTTGCACGAAGGGTCATTCCGTGCCATGTTTTGATTATACTTGCACGAAGGGTCATTCCGTGCCATGTTTTGATTATATTTGCACGAAGGGTCATTCCGTGCCATGTTTTGATTATTTATGCACGAAGGGACATTCCGTGCTCTGATTTGACTATAATTGCACGAAGGATCATTCCGTGCCATGAAATGAGAGTTATGTGAGGAAAAGCACGAAGGGTGATGCCGTGCATTCTATTTGATTGTTTTTGGTGAGAATGAGAGTAAAAGCACGAAGGTTGATGCCGTGCAACTGTTGATTCTCCTGTTTTTATTAATTATTGTTATTGCCCTGTTTCTTACTTAAGTTGATGACTTTATATCCGGATTGTACTCCCCCATAGCATGCTTCCCTCCCTAGTTAACTGTTTAATTTCGGTATTCTTTCCTTTATTGCATATATATATATATTGAACTGCACAAGTTGACTTGGTAGTCCTGTCTAGCCTCGTCACTACGTCGCCGGGGTTAGGCCAGGCACTTGCCAGCACATGGGGTCGGTTGTGCTGATGCTACACTTCTGTGCTTTTTGCACAAATTACGGTACCGGAGCAGCTCTTGGACCACAATAGTAGTTGATCGGGAGCCCTCTTCAGTCCAGGGACTTACGAGGTAGCCTAGCTAGCGTTCGCAGGCCGAAGTCCATTTCCATATTTTCTGTTTGCTTTCATTGTACCGAGACAGACATTATGTATTTTTCTATTCTGACTTGTTTGTAGCACTCTTTAGTGGTTCGTGAGACAGCGACTCCAGTCTTGGGTAGTGAAATATTAGACTTCCGCATTTTGGGTTTTCAGTTATTTATGTTTTAAAAGACTTCCGCATTTATTTAAAGACTCGTTATTTTATTATTGTTATGTTGTTATCCGAAAATGTTTAAATCTTTGGCTTGCCTAGCTCCAACAGTAGGCGCCATCACGACTCCCGATGGTGGAAAATCCGGGTCGTGACAAATTTATAAGAATTTTAAGATCATTTGGGTTATAACTTTCTGCATATTTTTTTAAATCTATGCTTATTTAAGTAATATAGGAAGTCAAATAATATTATCCATGTAATTTTTAAAAAATTATTCCCATCGGTAAGGGTTCACGCGCAACGCGCGTACTTTAAGACTAGTATATAAAATTGTCTTAAGTAATATAGACGATTTTCAACAAAAGAAACTTCAACATCATAATGACGGTGGATACAAACTGAATTTTATTCTTCGTTGTGACAATCTGTCAATATACATTGTATTTAATCCTTTACTATAGGCAGATACTTCAGTAATTCAAACTAGATTATGAGTGATCCAATTTGTGATTTCTTTGACTGTAAATGTATAACTGATAAGTATAAAAGTCTTGTATTTAACTAAAACAAAGTAAATGTTTTTGTATTTAATATCATCATATCTAAACATTCACTATTGAAAAAAAAAAAAAAACATTCACTATTGAAACACATCTAAACTATTCACCTTTTCTTTATGGGAAAATAAAAAGTTATAAAATAATACTTTTGTGGCAATATTACTTGTTTTTATGTTTTTCACGCATACATACGTACTTATACACACATAATTTCCATCTTTATTGTTAAAAAACAGGAAATAGATATTATGCTATAAATAATTGATGAAGGATGCAGGATGATCTATAAAGTCAGCCAAATAATTACTAACTACTAGATCAGTTGATCACGCCCGACTATGCCTTGTAAAAAAGGATTTAGCGGTCGTTGCAAATATATTCCGGTTAATAAGTCCGGAGTCGAATCCCACAGGGAATTAACCTATTAAACAGCTACTAGACTCGCACAAATTCACGCAATCAATCTTCAGAAATATTTAAGTAGCAAATTTGATGCTTACTAACTAAATATCACGTAATGAAAATGCAATAATTAATAACTAACTACGAACGGGTTGTAGACAAGAATTGGAATGATCTAAGGTTATGATTTCCCCTATTGTCGGAATCCTTTTTGCTACGTTTTCTATAAATTTGCCTAAGTCTTCTCTACCGATCATGAACACTCTGGGTGTCGTAACTCTCTCTAGAGTAATTACCACAATATACTAGACATATTCTCCCGAATTACGCTAGCTGGCCTTAAGTACAGCTCACTCAGATGGCACCAAGGTTTCGTTATCCCTTATCCCACCTTTAAACCCTTCGTATTTATCCCTCATATACCTTAGCAGTGATGTTGCTCAACAACTACCTAAATATGCACTCTCTCCCGAGTAATGTACACTGAATAGGCACAGTCGATTGAGGGCCCTTCAATCAACAACAATAATAATATAGTTGAACAAATAGAGAAAATACTACGGCAAATCTATATTAACTTAACAAGAAAAACATCCTCCACTAGGTTCCATCAAAACCCTAGATTAGGAGTTTAGCTACTCATAATTATTTTCACAACTACAATATAAGAATTCATCACCAATAATAGAAAAAGGGAAGAAGAAAGATAAAAACTTGTTTCCGAATCTTCCGTCTTGCTCCTTGCTTGTTCTTGCCTTCAAAGATGTTGTGTAATCCTCAAAAAGTCATTCTTTGATGTATTTATATCACTTAGGGTTGCTAAGTGGCGGAATTTTCCAATCTAACTTCGGCTAGGAGAAGCTGGATTCCGCGTCTGACTTCGCATAGCGCGCGAACTTTGACGCAGATTCAGCTTTTGAAATTCTTCCATTCTGCGAAGCGATCCGCGCCTTTGCTTCGCTTCGCTGTTTTGTGCCTTCACTTTTCTCCTTTTTCGCGTCCGTTTTCGTGCCACGCACGAGAAGAGACGAGCTCCCAATCTTCAATTTTTCTCCTTTTTGCAATAACTTGATATCTTTTGCTCCATTATCATTCAAGCTCACGCCTACAAATAAGAAATACGTAATGAGTATATCACTTCAAATATCATGTAATCTCCCGCGATCACACGACAAATGAGATGTAAGTACACTTAAAATCATAAACTTTTGGCCATTTATCACCGGTCAATATGAATCTTTTAAGCAATAAAATGCATGAAACAAAGGGGATTATGTAGATCATGATTTCCGTGCTTTTTCTAAAACTTTATAATTTTACAATTATCATTTATAATCTCAAACCGCGAGATAAAGGAAAAATAGAGTAGCCATTAATATGCCTTGTAAAATAATTCAGATTGTATGAAGTCAAACATTTGTAGATTGAATAACCAAAACAAAGGGGAATTGGCCAAAATTATTTATTTATTGGGTGAATGGATGAATTGGAGCAAGGCTATAGGGTGTCAACTAAACCAAGTTTGTATTAATTAGAACAAAATTTATGTGCTAAATTTTGTCCAATCTATTAGCGCCAATAACTAAGCTTGATCAGTTTGCTCAAATTAATTAAATATTGGGCTAACCACATTAATTAGTTCATTGATTAATGCTATAGATGTCAACCACACACTGTATATTTCTCCTGTTAGTTCCAGTTTTCATTAATAAGTGTTTCAAAACTCAAAGAGAAATAGGACTGAAAAATAAACGTTGAACATAACAACTAATTTTGACTTATTTCCCGTTAATTTGTTCCATTTGCATTTATATAAAATCTAGACAAGGTTTATGTAATCTTATTACAGTGTTCAAACAAACATCTCAAACACCATAAAATGGCCTTCTCCATTCTTTTTTCTTCATTCTTTCTCATACAATCAACCAGTAATTCAATCCTATCTAAGATTCATTCCCAAACTTCTCCTTCTCCTTGTCACAAATGGCAACATCATCTAATTCTAGGGAAAAATATATCATGAAAGAGTCGAATGAGCTGATGAGAAAGTTTCCATCGAAAAGGCTTGATGTGTCTTTTAGAAATTCCCATACACTTCTTCCTTCACTCACCTATATCCCTATCGATCAACAAAATGCTCCTAGTCCTCTTGAGTCTTTGTTCATGTTTAAACAACCCCAACGAACTCCATCCAACATCTGTTTCGAATACGGGTGGAGGAATCCTCAGCACAATTGGTCCTTATGGGTGCGAAACATGCATTCAAGATTCCAGGATGTGTGGAGAAGAGCTGGTATCTATGATTCCATATGTGGTTCCGTTTACCAAATCCATAAAAACCTAGATTTATTGTTTGTTTTCGGGGAGAAATGGTGCCCGAAAACTAACACATTCGTCTTTCCATGGGGTGAAGCAACGATCACCTTAGAGGATGTGTTGGTTTTAGGAGGTTATTCCCTACTAGGTGAATGTGTAGTAACTTCAGCTTTTCTTGTTTCAGAAGATGAAGTAAGAATAGACGATCGATTAATGGAAGCTTATACGGAAGGAGTGAGAACTCCAAATCGCAAAACCACTCATTCTTGGTGGTTAGAACAATTTATGGGGAAGGGTAGCGACGTTGAACATGAAGCCTTTCTCGCTCTATGGCTGTCGCGATATGTCTTCCCAGGGAGTTTGAATAACATGATAAAGGAAGTCTTCCCCTTAGCGATTCGTCTTGCTCGGGGTGTACAAGTTTGCTTTGCTCCTGCTGTACTCGCTAGCATCTATAGAGATCTACGTTCACTCAAAAATGCTATATTAGAAATGAAGGATGGAGATTCTCCGCGAGTTAAAATTCAAGCACCTTTCTTATTAGTTCAACTTTGGGTATGGGAACGATTCCCCACCTTGCAACCAAGGCCTAAAGCGATAAGGCATGGGGAACCGAGGATATCTCGTTGGGGCTCGACTAGTAGAGGATTTAGCGTTCAGGAAATACAATTGGCTATCCGTGTTGCAGCGCCCGATTTCTTGTGGCGTCCTTATGCCAAGGCTGTGGACGGGTTTCTGCCGCCCGCATTTTACAGTGAGGAACAAGAGTTGGAATTGATTGGGCAAAATGTAAGTGGAAAAGCTTGGTTACTTGTTTTGTGCATAAGGCCAAGTGTGTTGGTCGGGCTAAAAGGGCGGCTTGAACACTATTTTCCACATCGAGTGGCAATGCAATTTGGATATGATCAAGATATTCCAGCAACCATAGAGTTCAAAGCTGAGAATTATATTGTAGCTTGGAGAGATTTTACAAGAAGAGTTGAAGACAGGAGCCTCTACATTCCATCAAAAAACTTTGTGGCTGGTGTTACTGATAGATATGATACATGGTGGAAAGTGTTTATTCAATGCTGTAGGATTAAGGGTTTAGATATATTAAGAGCATAAATATGATGACCTTTTTACCCTTTAGTTATTCTGAGTTTGAAATTTTTTCCTTTCTTTGTAATGGACTTGATTCTATCTATAATTTAATGAAGATCAGATGTTTGCTCTTGCTAAATCTATCATGTTGAACCTTTACAAGCTTTAGAATAACATTCCTCTTTTTTTTTTTTTTTTTTTTTTATAAATAAAATCGGATTTTACTTTTTTGCTTGCCTTCCTAACGACATGTGAATGGTAAAGAAGTTGAAAAATTCTGTAAAGTATTAGACGAATTTTGATTATAAATAAAATTTTATTTATGGTGAATATCTATATTTTAGACTTAAGCAGATATGATCATGCTAATTAAGACTAGTAGATGTGATCATGCTAATTAAATATCTTAACTAGATTTGAATTTAAGTTCATATTGTCTCAAATATCAATTGTTTTTCTTTTCTCTGGTCACATACAATATAACCATCTCTTTTACCACATTGTTTAATTTGTACAAATTTGAGCATAATATATGCATCCACTTCATTTCGCCTCTGCCGTTTCTCTTATCCGAAACTTATCAGCCCTTATCGTTTTCTACATATCTATATCCAAGGGCAGAGGTTTGCCCAACTGCCAATTCGATCAAATTCATAACTTTTGCTTAAATATTGTATGTGTATTAAAAAATTCATTAAATATGTACACATCAAATTTAAAATTTAATTATTAACACTTGAAATCATTATTCTAAAATTCAGAATACATAAAATTAAAATTTTGGACTCCACCTCTCTCTGTATCTCTAGCATTAACGTGACACAAATAGTAAGTTAACTGTCCATAAAAATTATATTTGACGTTGTACTCAAAATTTTCATCATTATCGCAGACGGATGGCTCTAAATATATAGGATTTCTTTCGAGTGGAAATGAAGGCCAGTATTTATTTTGGCTAAAAAGATATTCAAGCTAACTAATTAGTAAACCACTGATCCTACTTGTGTGATCACAGAGTTAGATCACTTGTATTGGTTTAATTTGAGCTAGATCATCTAGAAGATCATTATCCCAATTTAGTGCTAATCTTTATGGAAGTTAATTTAAACCCGCTTGATTATGGCTGTTTTGTAGTACTACTAAAAAGGTTACCATGTATTATTAACAAAGATAATCTAATTTTCTTTTAAATTCTTTCCTTTATTTCAACAGAAATTCATTAATTTAACATTGATATTATTCTTAATTGCTTTTCTCCTTTGTATATATTCTTAAGCAAAAGGTGCATCCGATAGGTGTGATGATCCGATAGATCATTTTGAGTACTAGCCCTTATTATTGTGTTGCGAGACCACCATTAGCTTCATTTGATATTTCTTGATTTGCGTGCGTGGTTCGTATCGTTTTTCGAAAAGTTTTTACGTAAAAATTTGAAGAAAAAGTAATTTTTGCTTAAAATGAGATTTGAGTTGACCACGGTCAATATTCTTAGTAAACAGCTCCGGATCGGTATTTTGACGATTTCAGTAGGTTCATATGATGAATTTGGACTTCTACGCACTTTTGGTTGGGCCTGGGTTGAACCGAGCGCATTTCGGCGCGTTTGTAAAAAATTTTGAAAATGAACTTTCAAGTTCAAAATCATGAGTTTTGATGACCGATTCTTTTTTTGGATGTCATTTTGATGATTTAAGATACTGAGCAAGTTTATATGATGTTATTACCCTTGTGTGCATGTTTGGTTTGGAGCCCGAGGGGCTTGGGTGAGTTTCGGTTGTGTTACAGATGAGTTTGGATAGTTTGAGGACTGCTGGTGCAGTACCTATTTCTGGTGTCTTTTGTAGATCTAGCAATTGCAAGGTTTGGCTCGCATTTGTGAACAATAGTCACATTTGCAAGCAGGGGCTGGGCAGGGTGACCTCACATTTGCGAGGAAATGATTCACTTTTGCGAACTGTCTAAGGCCGCTTTTGCGAATATTTTGGTTGCATTTGCGACCACTTGCCATCTGGGATATCTTCGCAATTGCGAAGGGTGTATCCGCATTTGCAAAGGGGGGGGGGGGGGTAGGGGAGGCAGTTTGCATTTGCGAACAAATGTTGCATTTGCGACTTCTGGCTTCTGATGCGTTGATCGCATTTGCGATCTACGCTTTACATTTGCGGAGTTTGTAATTGTGATACATGCAGGTGGGTAAAAGAGGGAAAAATTTAGCTCATTTTACACCATTTCTTAACCCTAAACACTCTAGAGCCGATTTTTCAAGAATTTCTTTTTTCTCAAAATCATTGGTAAGCAACTTTAATCCATTTTCTTCCAATTCCCTATTACTTTTCATGTGTTTTTAACTTCAAATCTAGGATTCTCATGGTATAAATTAGGGATTTGGGTAAGATTTGGAGATTTTGTAAAATTGAGTTTTAGACCTAAAATTAAGGTCAGATTTCGAAACAGATATAACCGGGCTCGGGGGTAAATGGATAATAGAATTTTGGTCTGGATCTCACATTTTGAGCAAGCGGGCCAAGTTTTGCCTTTTGTTGGCCTTTTCAAATTCATCAAAGATTGACCCTTTATCATTCGTGGGTAGTTTCTAAAGTTTATGCTGAATTGTTTGAATGATATTTGGCTAGATTTTGTTGGTTTGAAGGCTTGTTCGAAAGGAAAAGTCGTGTTGATTGTTGAGTTGGTTGCTCAAAGAGGTAAGTGTTGTGTCTAACCTTGACTTGAGGGAATTAGGACTTGTTGGTCTATTTGTTATGTGAATTATATGGGAAAATAACATATATACGAGGTGAAGAGTGTATATGCGTTGTCATGTGATTAAAGCATGCAGGATTGAGCTATTTACTTCCATGTCTTCATCTATTCCATGTCATCTCCTTATATATGCTTTAATTTCTACATATTCTTATGATATATATGCTTTACTTGTTAATTGTTATTTGATTGTTACTTGTTTTGATTTATTCATTTCTCACTCAGTATCTACTTATCTGCTACATGTTCCTACTTGCCTTAATTGTATATTCTCATTGTCACATATTTTACTCGCTTTTGTTATCCTTATATTACTTGATACACTCTATTATGTTATTTCGACGATGTGAGCCATTTAGCTATTCTTGTAATGATGATTCATCAATGTTTGGAATTTTGAGTTATTGAATATCCTCCGTTTGTATGGGTAGTTCTTTAATGTTCCGCACGTTTCATTCTCTTTTGTGTTGGTATTTCGTAAACGGTGGTATTTAGTTGTTTATGTTAATAAATTGATATAGGAGAATCGGGTTGCGCACCGCAATGGTATTGAGAGGAATTGATATTGGGAGATCGGGTCGCATGCCGCAACGGAAAATGATATGATATGATATTGGAAATGAATTGTTCACTATGAAAGATATTGTGTTGAAACTTGAGTTCTGATTATACGCCACAATGGATTTGATGTGTTGTAGTTGTTTGTGGTTGTAGAGTTTATTCTCGGTATTGTGATACGAGATTTGAGATTATGTTATTCTAGGGCCCTCTGGTTGTTGACCTTCGGGTCCGATATATAAGTTTACTGCTTAATGTCTATTCCTGTTTTCTGTTATTATTATTTTGTACAGGTTATTTGTGAGTGGCTTGCCATAGCCTCATCACTATTTCGTCGAGGTTAGGCTTGGTACTTACAGAGTACATGGGGTCAGTTGTACTTATGCAACACTTCTGCACTTCTTGTGTAGATACCGATATTGGTCCCAACGACGCGTAGTGGAGATTGCTCGGATTCAATTGCTTTCGGACACTTGAGGTAGAGTTTCTAGCATTCGCAGTCTCCGAAGTCCCCTTATACCCTATCTTTACTATTTTTCTTATTTCGAACAGTTGTATTTCGTTTAGACTTTATCTATAGATTTCTATTATGCTCATGTATTCGTGATTCCATATTTTTGGGATATGTTTAGACGATGCTACATTGTACTTATCACATCTATTTCACGCTATTATAGTTTTGTATTATTAATGTTCTGTATAAAATAGTTAAGTAATAAGCTAAAGTTGTCTTGCCTATCAAGTGGAACGTTAGGCGTCATCACAGCCCCGAGGTTGGAATTCTGGATCGTGATAAGTTGGTATCAGAGCACTAGGTTACCTAGGTCTCCCGAGTCATGAGCAAGCTTAGTAGAGTCTGGAGGATCGATACGGACAGGACACGCACAACATCTATAGTCGGACAGGAGCCAAAGCCCCCAATTATAGCCACTACTAGGGGTAGGGGCCAGGGCCGAGGTAGAGCTTAGCGTAGAGCACATGCAACATCACCCATTTTAGAGTCTCAGATCGAGCATAGGAGGAGATCCCTGTTCATACCGCGCAAGTCGGACCCGCTCAGGTCCTGGAGAGATTCATTGCTACTCTCGTGCTTCAGGATGCCCTAGTCCGCTTAGTGGGCCTTATGGAGAGTATGGCCTAGGCTGGAGTATTTCCTATGGCACCAGCTCTCTCTCAGGCCAGGGTTGGAGCTCAGACTCCCGCCACTCACACTTCGGAGCAGATGGCTCCCCAGTACCAGACTCTGGTTGTTCCAGCAGTTGGAGTAGTTTGGCCTATTATTGCTTCACAGCCTGGGTAGAGGCCCGCGATGTCTTATGGGGGATTGAAGAGGTTGGATAACTTCACCAAGCTCTTTCCTATTCAATTTGGTGGTACACCTTCTGAGGACCCACATGATTATTTGTATCGTTGCCACGAGGTGTTGCACAACATGGGTATTTTGGTGTCCAATGGAGTCGACTTCGTAGTGTTTCAAATGACCGGCTCTGCCAAGAGATGGTGGCAGGATTATGTTCGAGCCATACCATTAGGTTCACCTCCACTCACTTGGGATCAGTTTTCACAACTATTTTTGGAGAAGTTCATTCCTTTTACTCTAAGAGAGGAGTACCGGCGCATCAAGGTTGAGGAGGTGGTGAGAGCTATGAGTAAGATGAGTAGGGGCAGAGCGACCGGGCCTGACGAGATACCGGTGCAATTTTGGA